AGGAGAAGAGGTTCATCCTGGAGAAAATGATTTTGATCTGTTTCAGCTGCTTGCCCAAGCCCACTTGCTCTGTAACTAAGTCTAATTATTTCTCACAGGTAATAATTGCCTGCCATTCATATGCCATGTGACACAAGATGGAAACCTGCATAATATACTATTTAGATTGATATGCGTAGAATAATTGTAGAACTGATGAAGTTATAAATGGAAAATAAGTAACTTCATCTGATTAATGGTAACCCTTGTCTGTGTTTCCTGTTTCAACCTGTCATTGTCAGTCCTATGACTCAATACTTGACTCTTGCCCTTTCCAAATAGGCAACTAGGCTATATACATTGAAATATACCCAATATAATGTGTTGTGTATATTAAGACTGTATCATGCGAACAGAAAAGATTCAGTCCTACACTACAAGTATATAATATGCAAAATGGATTGACCTCTAAATGTTAATGAATATGGATAAGGTACAGACCTTATCTATGAACCAATTGGACAATTTTAAGGCTTGGTAGGCAAAATATATTACTACTTATATTTTACCATATAGATTTGGACCACCCTATTATATATATATATATATATATATATATATATATATATATATATATATATATATATATATATATATATATATATATATATATATATATATATATATATATATATATTAATATATATATATAATATATATATATATATGTATATATATATATATATATATATATATATGCATATATATATATATATATATATATATATATATATATATATATATATATATATATATATATATATATATATATATATATATATATATATATATATATCTGACCTGAAAACCAACCGTTGTGTGCTATTTACGATTAGTAGGGTCATTACCTAATACCTGATCATTGTGGACCTGGTCTCACCCTCCTCTGTATACAGGTAGTTCTGCTATAACGCGATAATTGTGTTCTTGTAAAATATCGTGTTATAGAAAATCGCGTAATAGAAATAACAGGGCTTATGGAGAAAATAGGGTTAGGTGCAGATTACTCGAAATCGAAAAAATTTAGTAGTTAGCCTAACACAAAGGATAGCACAGTCTAAATAAATGTTACATTCATATCTAATAATGAAATCATACAGTAAATGTAACACTTTACCTTGAAAAAATATGAATGTAACTTGATGGGGGAGAAGGGTGATTTTGAGGTTGATAACATCGAGCTTCTCTTCAAGTGTTATATCCTTTCTTTTACGATAATCACCGGGAATTCTATCATCAGAACGCTTTTTGGAGATATTCTTCTTTACCATAATCACAGTTAATACCACAAAATTGGAGAAATAGTAAGCAAAAATCGCGTTATAGCAAACAAGCGTTCGCGTTATACAAATATTGTTCCGAATTCATAAATCGCGTTAGAGCAAATTCGCGTTATCAAAACACGCGTTATAGCAGAACTCACTGTATATACACCTTGATTTGTATTTCTCTCTCTAGTCTGTACTCACCCCTGAAGATGTGAATTACACGAAAGCGCTTGGGAACTTCGTGTTTTCTTCTTTCCTTGTGGTTATCAGCATATACCTAGATCACGCGCACCTACAGTGATTTACTTGCATATATATACAGTCAACCCTCACTTTACGCGGTTAATGTAACCCACAGGGTACCGCGGAAAGTGAGAAACGCGTAAAGTGAATAACACAACATATGGGATTAAATGAAATAGAGACCAGCTGACCCCCAAACTCCACTTTTTCCAACACAATACCTATGTTCTAGTAAAAATAACATCTTAATTTTATGATGGTACATGCACACAATTAATACTTAAGAGAAATAGAGAAATACAGTCGCCAAGTTAATGTCCATTCAAATAATGGACTCGACTCCCTCCCCCTCTTTTCACAGTACACTCACTGGCTCTTCCCTCTGAGAAATTTTTGGGGGAAAACCAGGTATAGTAATAAATAATACCTCAAACTAAAGTTAGGATAATATAATTGACATTGCTGGATTCCTTGTAAGACCAGGAATATTTTGAATATAAATGTCATATATTTTTCACAAAAGATAACATATTTACTCAGATTAAACATTACATCTAAAATTTGTATGTCTAATGCAAAATCTATGATGTTTATATTCAAAATGATCATCAAATTGTAAGAATTCCAGCAATGTAAATTATATTCTGGCCGGGTAATTTGTATGAATTTTATGAGCTAAAATAAAAATCTTCAGTTAATAAAAAAAAAATATTCTTCACACATGCCAGGTGGTCGGTCGCCGGTCCCTCCCTCCCCCCACCAACCGTCCCTACTAGATAAATGTGTGGGAATACCAGACTGTTTACCTTTTTAGTAATAAATAATAAATCAGACTAAAGTTAGGATAATATGATTGACATTGCTGGATTCCTTGTAAGACCAGGAATATTTTGAATATAAATGTCATATTTTGCACAAAAGATAACATATTTACTCAGAGTAAACATTATATCTGAAATTTGTATGTCTAATGCAAAATCTATGATGTTTATATTAAAAATGATCATCAAATTGTAAGAATTCCAGCAATGTAAATTATATTCTGGCCGGATAATTTGTATGAATTTTATGAGCTAAATAAAAAAATTATACTTCACCCGTGTAAAGGGGTACACCCACCGCGGAATGTGAGCATCCTGGGTTCTGGCAGGGCACCGCGTAAACGTGGAAACGCGGAATGTGGGACCGCATAAAGTGAGGGTTGACTGTATAATTTACATTGCTGGAATTCTTACAATTTGGTGATCATTTTGAATATAAACATCATAGATTTTGCATTAGACATACAAATTTTAGATATAATGTTTACTCTGAGTAAATATGCTATCTTTTTTGCAAAATATATGACATTTATATTCAAAATATTCTTGGTCTTACAAGGAATCCAGCAATGTCAATTGTATTATCCTAACTTTAGTTTGAGGTATTATTTATTAAAATTTAGTGGTTTTTCCCCAAAAATTTCTCAGAGAGGGAAGAGCCAGCAGTGTAGTGTGAGAAGAGGGGAAGGGAGTCGAGTCGTTATTTAAATGGAAATTAACTTGGCGACTGTATTTCTCTATTTCTCTTAAGTATTAATTGTGTGCATGTACCATCATAAAATTAAGATGTTATTTTTACTAGAACATAGGTATTGTGAAAAAGTGGAGTTTGGGGATCGGGCCAGTTTCTATTGGAATTAATCCCATATGTTCTGTTGTTCACTTAGCGCGGTTTTCACTTAACACGGTACCCTGTGTTTTACAAGTATATATATATATATACACATGTACATACACAGCAGCATATATATATATATATATATATATATATATATATATATATATATATATATATATATATATATATATATATATATATATATATGTATGTATGTATGTATAGAGTGTGTGTATATATATGTATGTATGTGTGTATATATATATATATATATATATATATATATATATATATATATATATATATATATATATATATATATATATATATATATATATATATATATATATATATATATATATATATATATATATATACACACACACACACACACACACACACACACACAGTATTACCCCGCTATTACCCCGCTTTACACGGTTTCACTTTCCGCGATTTCTCATTTACGCGGTACCTTGCCAGAACCGGACTTTCACTTTCCGCGGCGCATCTACTCATATACGCGTGAGGTATGATTATTTTTTTTTTTTAGCTCATAAAATTCATACAAATTACCCGGCCAGAATATAATTTACATTGCTGGAATTCTACAATATGATGATCATTTTGAATATAAACATCATGGATTTTGCATTAGACATACAAATTTTAGATCTAATGTAATAATTTGGTTTACACAAAGCAAGTATTTTATCTTTTGTGCAAAATATATGAAGTTTACATTCAAAATATTCCCTGACCTGCAAGGAATCCAGAAATGTCAATTATATTATCCTAACTTTAGTCTGAGGTATTATTTATTACTAAAAGTTAAAATCTAGTTCTTTCACCCAACATTTCTCTGGTAGGGAGGGAAGGTGGGGTGGGGGGGAGGGTTGGGACGGACGACCATCTGGCGCGGTTGGAAGAGGGGGGGAGGCAAGTTGGGGTACTTTGATTGACAGATAGTGTCGTGAAGAATATTTTTTTTTTATTAACTGAAGATATTTGTTTTAGCTCATAAAATTCATACAAATTACTGGACCAGAATATAATTTACATTGCTGGAATTCTTACAATATGATGATCATTTTGAATATAAACATCATGGATTTTGCATTAGACATACAAATTTTAGATCTAATGTAATAATTTGGTTTACACAAAGCAAGTATTTTATCTTTTGTGCAAAATATATGAAGTTTACATTCAAAATATTCCCTGACCTGCAAGGAATCCAGAAATGTCAATTATATTATCCTAACTTTAGTCTGAGGTATTATTTATTACTAAACGTTAAAATCTAGTGTTTCACCCAATCATTTCTCAGAGAGGTAGGGGCCAGTGAGCTGGGAAGAGGGGGGGGGGGGGTGGATTTGAGTCCATTATTTGAATGGACATTAACCTGGCGACTGTATTTCTCTTAAATATTAATTGTGTGAGCATACCATCATAAAATTTAGATGTTATTTTTACTACAACATAGGTATTGTGTCGGAAAAAGTGGAGTTTGGGGGTCGGGCCAGTCTCTATTGGAATTAATCCCATATGTTCTGTTGTTCACTTTACGCGGTTTTCACTTTCCGCGGTACCCTGTGGGTTCAATTGACCGCGTAAATCGGGGTACTACTGTATATATATATATATTTTTTTTTTTTTTTTTTGTACACTACCTCATATTTTACCTTACTTGATATTTCTTTTTTTCATTTACATGTTCAACTTTCCACACCAGTAGTGTAGTGTACTTTCAGCTGATTAATAATGTTAATCAGCATATTTTATTTTTAGGTGTGTGGAGTGCTGCGTCAACTTTCTCGTGTCCACGCTCTTAGTGGTGACTTTAGTCCTGCAGCTTCAGCCCTTGACCAGTGTCTTCATGCTGAAATATCAATCTATGGGTCCTCTTCAAGAAGGGCTCAAGCATCTCGGCTGAGATTACAGGACATGATTATGTGAGTTTGTTATTTCATTTACCTTAGGGTTGCCATACGTCCGTATTTTCCAGGACATGTCCTCCATTTAGGTCTCGAAATCTTCATCCGGAAGGAATTTTTAAAATTCTTCAAAAGTCCGGAATTTCAGCTTCCATCATTTTCTCCATTGAAAAAAAAAAAACATGAAACTGTAATGACGGGAGAGAGAGGGAAGGTGGAAACCGTAGAGATCTCGTTCAGTTTTCGTCAGCTGATAAGTCACTTGTACGCCTGTACGGTGTTGTCAACTTAGCTGTCAAATATTTGATTGATAAGGGGGTAGAAGTTGATGATGTGAAGTGTTTTGGCCAAGTTAGTAACCTGAAGCAGCTTGTGGAAAATTACAAGAATGGTGAATAATTTAGTAATCTGCCAGCACAAAAAGTGGACCAGATACTTTGAAAAATCAAACATTGAATGTCACTCAGAATTGCTAAGAATTGCACAATTTTCTTTGCTATATCATCTTGCAATGCAAATGTAGAAAGTTTTTTCACTGATGCAAAGCCAATGGACAAAGGAAAGGAACAAATTGAGTGTTAAACAATGAAAGGCATTCTGACTGTACAGTGCAACTTCCGAGAAACACCTTGCAGTGACTTCTAGACCTTTCTAAAGAGCAATCAGCCAATACTGAAAAAGATCCGATCTACAGAAAAGTATGCATAGGCACATCAAGTCACACACACAGTGGGGGGAGAAGACTGCAGCTAAGGGAATGAAGATGTTCAGCCTTAAGCAAAGGTAATTTTTTTTAAAGATTTCTATACCATGTGTTGTACAGTATATTAGCCTGTGTGTGCCGGGCTGGGTGTCTTCGGGAGCGTCCTCTTTTTTTAATGTTCAGATATGGCAACCCGAATTTACCTAGACATACATGTACTCTACCTGTACAGTAGAACCTCGTTATTTTGAACTTGGCTATTATGAACTTCGCCTTATTCGAACAAATTTAAAATGTGAATAGGTTATCTCTATTTTGAACCATTCATTTAAGTTTGAATTATATCATCGTGATTCGAGCCGAACAAATTTTTGCCCAAATTCCTGCTGCAGTGCTACGCCACCACTCGCAGGAAGCCAGTTGGCATTTACTGGTAACCCTTAAGCCCCGGGTTAGGGTGGTGCTGGCAGTACCGCCCCCCCCCCCCTTCCCCCTCACTGCACGGGGATAAATCGAGAAAAATCGACCTTTCCAAAAATAATAAAAAGAAAATGGTGGGAATAGGCGGACATTCTGGAACGTCACCCGGGGCCTAAGGGTTAAACACACTCTTGTCAATATCAGTTGTTAGTAATTCCCAGTACAGTATAGTCTCATTATCTTGGCTAATTAATGATGAGTTCAAATCAGGAAAAAGGGAAAAGAAAAGTCAGAGGAAAATATAAATCTCTTAGTGTAACAGGTAAGCTGAAAATTATGGAATCATTATGCATTTTTCTACTCATTATCACACTTGTTATCATTGTATTTTTCCTGGGCTTGCATACTGTACCCCTAGATCTTATTACCAGGCAGAGGGAGGAAATTTCCAACTATTTCCCGCCTGTGAGTTATATATTATGTTATGGTTATATTTCACTCATAATTTTGGATAGGTACACTTAATTTTCTTCATTTTTTAAAATTCCTTTACATGCACACACAGTCCTATATATACAGAATGTGAAAAAAGAAAAGAAAAAAGAAATAAGTATTATAAGGTATAATGTATGGGTTTCCACCATGAAGCCATGTGGCTAGTTCATTTGAAGAGGTCAGGGAATCCATGGCACATAGCATCGTTGCTAGGGATGGCTGTGTTGTTATGGTGAGCATTGAGTTTGCCAGTGTCCCATATATATAAGACTACGACACAGTGTGTACAGTGACTTGTGTCAGTTTTGCTCTTTTTACGCTTTCATTGTTGCTATTTATATATTTCCATTATTGTTGTTATATGCCAACATTTTTAAGTTTTAATGTTACAGTGTACAGGTAGGGGGTCCCCGGGTTACAAACAAGTTCTTTTCTTGAGGACATTCATAAGTCGAAAATGTACATAAGTCGAAACACATGCTATATGCATACCATACAGAACAATGTTTAAAATCCCACTATATCATGGCCTAAGTCCTTATATACATCTAAAATCACTTAGTTTAAGTGAAAAGTAGAAGTATAATGAAAAAATACAGTAAATGAAAGTAAAAAATAAGTCATCACGTAAATAAAATACTGTAAATTTAAAGTTTAACCTCATTTGTATCGGCGGGCATTCATAAGTCGGGGACCCCCTGGTTAGCGTTAATTAAGTTTACCGATAATTTGACGCGCTGTGAAGGGGAAAAACTGAGAATGAGGTGACCTGTGATATGGCATGTTGCCTTTGTTACTGGTAATGAAACTATAATAGTTGTGGAAAAATCATAACAATACTCTAATGTGGCTTAGAAATAAAGAAAAAATAATACTGTACCTGCACTGTATAAAATTATGAAATTTGAAAATGAAGAGCATGGGTGTGTATGTGTGTGAATTGAACATATTTGTGGAGGCAATGGGCTGTAACTGCATCACTAGCCCAGCCGTGCTCCCTGACTCCGTCTCCCAATGTGACATCATGTCATGCACTCAGAGCAGCACGGCAGCCACACATCCTTGAGTCAGCTGAACTGTGTGGCATCACCCTGAGGATGGCTGAGTATGGAAGGAGCTACTTTTTGCACAGAAAATATATTCTACTGTATTTTATGATATCAGTTTATTGTTTATCGTAGCAGTTTTTGTTCTTTTTTGACATCTGCAATTTGAAATTGGCTCACTTTTTGCTCACTGAATTGTTTAACTTTGAACCACATTGTTTATATAGAGGTTTCGTGTTAATAAATTAATTGTTTAACTTTGAATCACATTGTTTATATAGAGGTTTCATGTTAATAAATTAATTGTTTAACTTTGAACCACATTGTTTATATAGAGGTTTCATGTTAATAAATTAATTGTTTAACTTTGAATCACATTGTTTATATAGAGGTTTCGTGTTAATAAATTAATTGTTTAACTTTGAATCACATTGTTTATATAGAGGTTTCATGTTAATAAATTAATTGTTTAAATTTGAACCACATTGTTTATATAGAGGTTTCGTGTTAATAAATTAATTGTTTAACTTTGAATCACATTGTTTATATAGAGGTTTCATGTTAATAAATTAATTGTTTAACTTTGAACCACATTGTTTATATAGAGGTTTCGTGTTAATAAATTAATTGTTTAACTTTGAATCACATTGTTTATATAGAGGTTTCATGTTAATAAATTAATTGGTTAACTTTGAAACCATTTATAACGAACTAATTTTTTTATTATTATTATTATTAACGAGTACAGTACTGTACTCAGTGTTTACCACCTTGCTGTTGTTTGCTCTCTATGCTTTGCTGTTATCCCTCGTTTGAAGATAATTTTGCTTAACTTTACGTTTTCCAAGCACACAACCGCATCGTTAAACAAGGGATACCCATACAGTTAAAGCTACTTTTAAGGGTGAATCTAGTGATCTGAATAGTGGTTTCGCAACCAATTGCTGTGACATCACAGGGGGAGTATGATAAGTAGTATCACTGTACAGTACAATAATTTACAGAGGGGACTACATTACTGAGTATTATTATGCTATGCTTACCAAGGAATCCATCCAATCTTATCCTAAGGTGCACAGTATATTTATGAATAAAATATATTTAAAAAAATATATATATATTTGGTGCTTTGGTATTTCTCCCACTGGTGGTACAGGTATTTTCTTTTGATAGTTGTACTGGATTTGTGATTCATCCATTTTGTCTTCTTTCATCGTCTTTCTGGGTATATATATTTTCTTCTTCCACTTCCTCAAGGATTTCTTTAAATTGTAGTCATGCTGCTTCTGTCAGGTTCCTCCTTATTGATGTTCCCCCAGTTTATTCTCAGTAGTTCGTCCTTTATGAGCTGGTAGACTTCATGATTGAATTCATAAATTCTTCCTCATATACAATTACCTGTACTGCAAAAAATATTGATAACCTTTAATTTTTCACATGCTATTCATACAAAAAGTTATTTCAAGGATGAATGAAACACAATTACAGACTTAAAATGTTTTATTCTGCTACTGTTTAGTACTTAGTCATATTTCCCATACACTTTATTACCAATAGAAGTCTTTTTGGCATGGATTCTGCTAACGTTTGAAAATACTCTCCATCCTTCTCAAACTCCCACATGCACTTGATTTCCTCCTGTAGCTGATGTACAGTTGATGTGTCCCGTGTTGACAGCTTCCACTTCATCTCATGCCATACATTCTCGATGGGGTTTCAATCTGGTGAGTTCCCAGGCCACTCCAGCACTGGAATAGCCCTTTCATGAAACCAAATTGTCACACATTTTGACCTGTGACAGGGGGCACTGTCTTGCATGAAGAATGTGGACTGGTGAAGTCGATAATAATCCAATAAATGTTTTTCCAAAACAGTCTTGTGGCGATCAGAGTTCATTGTCGTGTTTTTGGGAGGAAATGGAAGCCCACGTTTTCCACTGAACGCTCCCCACACCAACATACTTGCGGGATGTTTCACGATTTTAATGGTGTAACGAGGATCATACTGGCCTTCTGACTGTCTGTTTCCCTGTAGTTAATATGCAAAAAATGCTTTCATCGGACCACATCACAGAATTCCATTGTTCTTTGCTCCAGTGCTGGTATTTTCTTGCAAAAGTAAGCTACTGACGGCGCATTCGGTTCGTGAGAAGTGGTTTTCGTGCAGCTTGATGGGAAGGCAGATGAAGTTCCTTCTGAAGATGATGTTCAATTGTTCGTTCTGATACGTTTTGCAGGAGGATGGGGTGTGCTTTCTTCAATTGTGATGCACACATATTAGGATCTCTCATTATCTCAAGCCTCAGTAGTGAATCAGTGCATTTGGAAGTCTTCCGAGGTCTTCCTGATGATAATTTCCTTGGTGGAATAATGTTGGCGGGAAGGTTGCGTGTCGATCGCTTGAGCTTTTTAATCTTTGCCTTTCCTCATCCTGTTCTTGAAATTTCTTTCACACCGACTTTTTCCGCTAGCAGGGCAAGGATCTGACCATTCTCTGCCTCAGACATGTTTTTGGGAGCCATGAATATAGTTTTGAAAAAAATTTGGGGTTAATTGTGGGTGTCTTAATTTGCACTCAACAGCTTGGTGAGCGAAAATTAACACAAACACCCTGATCGATAGCAAGTGGGGCACTGGCCAAGTTTCTCCCACTTCTAGTCGCCTGGGAAACACCGTAGAGTTGCCAGGTGTTATATATTCCCGTCTTGACAAATTTTGTGGGGTGTTTTTCACGCGGCAAAATCATGTATATAAACACAGCTAATTATGCAGAGGGGATCAATATTTTTTGCGGTTATGGTACTTGATCATGATCAAAGATTGTACAGTATTCCACCTTTGTATTTACTGAACTCTGGTCAGAGTTAGTTTTCCCCAGCTTAGCCATCATTCACCATTATTTCTCTCCCTTCATGGGTTCTGTCATATGTTGTGTGAGGAATGAGTCTTGTGTGAGGTCAAGGAATTCTTTTCCTTCAACTTGTGAAGTAAGATACACCCAGTCTGTCATCTCATAATTAGAACCCAACCCTTATCAACTTAACCCCCATCAACTCGTACCCTGTCAACTCAAACCCAGTAATTTTTTCCTCCTGTAAACTTAACCCCAAGTCAATCCATACCCTGTCAACTCATCCTCTGTCGACCACACTTATCAACTCAATCCACTGTCAACTAAACCCCTCTGTTAACTCAACCCTCTGTCAATCCAACCCCTGTTTGTTTATGTGGATCTAGAAAGGCAATAAATGTGACACGACTAGAACTTGAAAAATGTGGATCCGGGGGGGGGGTGCCATGGATTGAAGGTTGATCGGGGGCAGCTCCAAAAGGGTTAAGAACTGCTGATGTAGGATGATGATTATAGAAAGTGATACAATAACGTGTATTATTCAAACATGATTACAGTACAGTAATTCCCTCGATAACTCTGCATTTGATAACTCTAAATTTCATATTACTCGGCATTTTTATGGTCTTGGAATGTATTATTGTATAACTCGGGAAATGCCAAGATATGTAAAATTATCTGGGAAAATCTCGGCTTATCTGGCCACCTGCGTCACCTACCTTGAATCTACAGGTATATCACCTACTATGATGTTTCATTCTTCGTCTGCAGTGCTGGTAAGTGTTACTTTTTTACATTTAATAATTACATGTACACATATATGAGTCGATAACTTTTTATTGTTGTATTTTGTAAGAGGGGGGAAAGTGCCTCGATAAGTCAGAATTTGGGATAACTCGGCAAGGCCAGAGCCCATATGTGCTGAGTTATTGAGGGTTTACTGTACAGTACTTGCATTTTACTTAAGTAACTGAAATCGAGTCATGAGTATTGACTCATAAATCAGCCACATTGGTTTAAGGACTTGCTATATTAATTTAAGCAGGATAGTTATTGGTAAAGAATTATTTCCCATCATAAAGTTTATCCTTTTTACCTTTCAGAAAACTACCATTGTCACTGAGAATGAAGATGTATAGAAAGCATCCAGAACTGCAGAACAAACCACGGTTTAGAAATATATAATTCCTAGTTTAATAATGATGTAGATGTTTTGGTATATACTGCTGTATATTTAAGAACAAGGACATATCATTTGAAATGTGACAGAATGACTTTAATATTTGTTATTCCATATTTTTGCTTTATGAAATGTAAGATACTGGGCTCTCTCAATTAAATAATCTCAAATTCCAGAGCTTTTCAAGTACAGTATATTGATACACTTTTCAATATCTCAACACACAGTTATCAAATATTTCTTTTCATAATTAAAAGCAATAGACCCAATTTCAGTATCACATTAAAGTCATTCTGTCACATTTCAAATGATATGTCCTTGTTCTTAAATATACAGTACGGTAGTAAAAACAAAACATATACAGTACAGGCAGGGAATTAATGATAATAGTTCTGTAGTCAAAGAAAGAACTACCCGGTAAATTAAAATCCTGTTACATTTACACTTTTCACACAAGACAGGTCTTGGTAGACACTTTCTTCAACAATTATTATTTTACAAAGCTCAAATTCTCTTTCTGATCAGAAACAACAAAACTCAAATTTAATTTCTTTTAGTTTTCTTATGAGTTTTGGAAATCTGATTATTTACACAACTACAGTACTGTATACTGTACTGTACTGTACTGTATATCAGTTGAGTTCTTGTTGTGTTATTTTGTCACATGTGATTAAATTATTGCAAAATAAAAGTGAAATAATTATATATTATTATGATGCTATACTGCATTAGGATATACAGTATAAATTATACTGTAACTATATTTGATGCCATAGATAAATATTCAAACTGTTGCTGTTAATAAATATTTGTTTAAACTATCAAGTTACTGTATTTTTTTTTTTTTGCCTGGTGAGTTATTGTCCTGTATTGAGTTTTGTCTGGTGCTGTGAGTTTTCCTTTATGGTGAGTTTTTGTCCATTGTGAGTATTTGTCCAGTGCAGTGAGTTTTGATCTGGACAAAAAGCAATAACTTGACCCAAAAGTTGATGGACAACAAGCCTGCAGAAGCGAAGCGAAGAACAGAAGGAAAATGATAGGCATGAGTTTTTCTTTCTTATATAAAATAACATAATACAGTATAAGATCAGTAGAAGAAATTCAGATGATAACACATGTTTCTATAATCATTTTAAACAAATATAAGTCTTTGCTGGGTCGCCAAGATTTCTATGAAAAAAATTTTATCTGAGGAAAAGTATAAAAGTGTGATTTTTCTTTCTTTTGCATAAATTTAGCTGAGGAAATATGTCAAGCTTGTTTGTGATTTATTCAGTACAAACATAAGTTTTTATGTTTTTGCCAAGACATACTATAAAAGTTTTACTGAACATATTGAGTGTATGCCATGCTTTTTCTTTGCAGACATTTTATAACTTCATTTAAATAAAAATAAAAAATCTGAAGAAAATATACAGTACAGTACTACTGTACTTTAGTGTGTTGCTTTGACACAAACATTTTTATTATTTTAAAGAATTATAAAATAATAAAGAAGGTAATTAAATGCTTTTCAAGGTAAACAAATTGATGTTATTAAAATCTCAATTAGTTTTCTTGTCAAGTATGAGAAAGTAAAATTCTTTTCCTAGAAATAAATCTCAAGTTCCAATACCTGTGAGGACATATACTGTAATACATCTTAATATTATACACTGTACAGTCATAATCATTCTTTTATAATCTAAAACTTATAACAACCTATTTTTAATCTATTTTTTACTATACAGTATAGCAAACATTTTACTATTTCATGATGTGGCATTTAGTGCATGTTATTTATATAATACCGTACATGTGATACATGTGAATTTATACAAACCTAAAACAAAATATATCCAGTAATATGTGATGCTTGCTAATTAGGAATCATTATCATATTACAATACGTATAATAATAATAAAGATGAAAACAACACAAACCATGTTTCCACTCTGGTTAAAGAGGGAAAAATGGTACATTTTATTCTATACTGTAAAACAAAGTTTTGGTTTCTGTTCGTGCTTAAGTGAAATTTATGATAGTCACATATTTATAAAACACAGCAGATAGTTTTTATTCTCGTGATATGTGGCATTTAGTGTGTAATAAACACAATAGAAATTTCTTGTGATCAGAAGAGCAGGATCCAAATTGTCAAATGCAATTACGGGGAACCTTCATAGTGCAGACACTCACAACTTGCTGCCTTACTTGAACACATTGCCAATATTATTCATATTAGGAAGCAGAGACTCTGGTGAGGGTCCTCTTTGAGAAGTTCTGAAGATGGGGGAGGGTAAGAGGGTTGGGGATGGAGAGACTAGGGATGTGGACGGGGGGGGGGGGGCTGGAGAGACTAGGGATGTATGTGTGTGTATGGCTAGAAGGGGTAGGGGTGTATGTGGGGGTGGAGGGACTGGGGGGGGGGTGTGGGTGGAAGGAAATGGGTGTTCAGCCTCTTCTGTGATCGCGAAGGGGGCCCACGGGGGATAGACCGGGATTTATCCTACGTTGGCCCAAGGGGAAGGTCACAGGAGACTGACCAGGAGAGACCACTGTAGGGACCACCTTGGCCACCATCTCGGACCAATATACGTCGTACCTCTCTAGGATGGTTCCACTGTTGGAGCAATATTTTTGGTGATAAATATTAAAACAGAAGTCAGAGGTCATGAATGAAAAATATTAACACAGTTCATTAGGTACAAGATTCTCTCAGGGGTTCTACCCAGTTGAGACTAGCTTTGTTCTAGCAACACCTAGCAACACTTACGTGAAGATGACGTTGCCGGTGCGGTCTCGGGGGGCTAGCCAGGTGAGGAGCATCTTGGTCTTGGGGGGCGTAGTGTTATGGGTGGCAGCCGAGCACTCGGGGAAGCTTTCCACCTCCTTGGTTTTCACAAACTCGCCGATCCACTCGTTCGTGAGGGCGTCACGGGCCTGAACAAAGAACCCCTTGAAAGGCGGCCCGTTGATCCGTACTGGAACATAAATGTGGTACAGTATTAAGAAGGAGAATGTATTGGAACATTAATATAAAAATTTACCAGTTCTTCTGTATATATCACAACATATATAAGTGAAATATAATTTTCTTTGGGCATTTAATTAATCTGACAGTTTTGTCAGCTATCCTTGGTCAAATTGCCTGACTGTGTACAACTGATGTATACGCATACAGTGGTATATCCGTTAGCTGGAACAATTGATGTAGAGCACTTCCGGGAATTAGAAATTTCCGGGAAACGAGAAGACTCTCAAAGCCGGAAAAATATCCCTCATCCCCGGAATTTTCCAGGTAATGGAAAAATGTTCTCGGAAGTTCCAGAAATTACTCATTACATGATCTCTTGAACTATAAAAATATCTCCCATCTCTGGAATTTTCTGGGTATGCGCTGTACCGGAAAAATTTTCTCGGAATTTCCGGAAAATGCACTTGATTTTTTCACTCAAACCCGGAAAAAAAACTCTCCCATCCCTGGAATTTTCTGGGTATCGGGAAAATTTTCTCAAATTTTTCCAGTAAATGTGCCCCTCGGAAAATCGTTCCCAAAGTCGTAATTTTCCGGAAAAATCTTACTTTAGGAACGATTTTCCGAGAAAACTTAAATTCCGGCTATCGAAAAGATCCGGGTTTGAGGGATTACGGTTAACAGAGATATTACTGTACTTGCACTGTCTAGGAACATTGATATTGAAACAGTTTATTTAGCCAGAAAAAATACAGATACAGTACTGAGTGGCCAATAATAACAATATTGACATAGCCAAGTGAGAGCCTGAGCCCTCTTAGTCACACCTAATACTGTACTGTACATTTATCTTGTGAAATTATTATATAATGTTTATTATCCTCTGAATTATTACATGTAACAAGCTGTTAGTAAATACATATTAGAATGTTGCCACAATCAGATTTTTTTACATTTATATTATTAGTACAATACAGTACTGTACTGTATACTGTATACACATTTTTACAGTAGAGTTGATATACAGTACAGTACAGTACAGTAATCTGATAAGTGGGTGGAAGCGATAGTGTTGGGGCAAAACAAAGAGACATGTATTGACAGCAAAATATGTGAGTATACAGTAATTAGTCTACAGTAGACCCTTGCCATTCACGGGTATCCGATTCGCGATTTCAACGATTCAGGGTAAGCAGATGGTGGCTAGCTTGCGAGCCTTTTCCCGCAGCGCAGCGAGTCACCTCATGTTCCCGTGGCATCATATCTCCCTCTATTCTCGCTCACCCAGTGCCCGTGACCCAGCATCTTGTGTTGTACAGTACTCTCAAAACTTTAGTGATTCTTTGTGAAAATGACCCCTAAAAGACTGCCTAGTGTCAGTGCTAGTGGAGTGAAACATAAAAGGCAAAAGTCAGTGATGACCCTTACAAAGAAAGTTTAATTATTAGACAAGTTAAAAGAGGGGATGAGTGCTGCCGCAGTGGGTCAGTTGTTTTGTGTGAACCAATCCACAGTGCGGTATATATAGAAGAATGAACAAGCAATTCGTGATTCTGTTCAAACGAGTGCTCCTGCAATTGCTAAAGTGGCGCAGGTTGTTCGTGAAAAGAACATAATAAAAACAGCACTGCAAAAATGTTCTGATCGACAGCAATGTGATTCGTGAGAAAGCTAAAAGTCTTTATGCTCATTTTTACGAGACAAAAGGAGGTGAAGGGGTTAGTGCTGCTACTGAACCAACTTTTAGTGCCGGTAAAGGGTGATTCAAGAATTTTAAGAAAAGATTCTCTCTCTCTATAATGTGAAGCGGAGTAGGGAGGCCGCATCAACTGACACACAGCCACAGATGTGTTTCCCACCAAGTTAAAGAAAATAATAGAAGAGAAAGGTTATAGACCAGAGCAAGTGTTTAATGCTGATGAATCTGGTCTATATTGGAAAAAAATGCCTGGTTGTACAGGGAGGTACTACCACCTGGGAAGATATTGGAAGCATAATGTGTTGTCTAATGGTAGACCCTGCTGCAATATGGCATCAAAAAAATTGTGACCAAGTCCCAGGTTGCTGATCTGACTTTCTGCCTCATTTACACATAATTGCAGGGTCTCAATTGTTTTACTTACTTTGACAACACAACATACATAATATTGTTTCTCACTCTTGATCTTTTTTTCTTTTTTTCTTTTTTTATATAGGTTCCTTTCTTATTATTATTGTTATTATTTTTATATTATATTATATTTTTATTTAATATTTATTATAATTTTTTATTATTATTATTATTATTATTATTATTATTATTATTATTATTATTATTATTATTATTATTATTATTATTATTATTATATTTTTGTCCCGAAGTCCCTGATGTGGGTCATTGACCTGGCTTGCTTTACCGCTCAGCAAACCCAAAGGCTTTAAATAGTAAAAATGTGAACCTTTTGCCAGTTTTTTGGCAGTCAAACAAAAAGGCATCAGTAACTGTGCATGCATTCCTGGATTGGTTCCATAAATGTTTCATCCCGGAAGTGGAAAAGTACCTTGCTTCCAAGAAGATGGAATTCAAGGTGTTATTATTGATAGACAATGCACCAGGCCACCAGAAAGTTTGGAGTTTAGCCATCCAGGTGTAGAGGTGGTGTTCCTATCCCCTAATACCACTGCTCTTATTCAGCCTCTCGATCAGGGTGTAATACGCGCCTTCAAGGCATATTACACCCAACGCTCTTTTGGTCGTATCCGTAGTGCCATGGACTCAGACCCTGACCTTGATGGTAGGAAGTGTTGGAAGGAGTACAGCATTGAGGACTGCATTACCAACATCAGTGAAGCATTCAATAAACTCAAACCAGAGACAGTGTGTGAATAACTTCCAGGGATTTCCGTCAGTAGTAAAGGGTGTGAATGACATTGTGAATGTTGCACGTCAATTGGGTGGTGAGGGGTTTGTGGACAAGGCTGCTGAAGATGTGGAAGAGCTGATTGATGGGCATGGAGAGGAACTGACAGAAGAGGATTTGGAAGAGTTGGTAAAAAATGCTGAGGAAGATGAAGAAGAAGAAATTATGGAATTGTAACAAAAAGGTTGGGGCTTGGACAATTTGGGTGATTTATTTCGACAGGTGAAGATGGTAACTGATATCATTACTGACCACGACCCTTCCATGGAATGGAGCCTTAAGATTGTCTGAGGAATCAGCCAGGTATTGTTTCCCTACCAGGAAACATTTTAAGACCTCAAAGCAAAGAAGAAACGACTACCAATCACTATGTTTTTCAAGAAAGAACAAGCTACTACCGCTGCCGCTCCAGCCTCCTCCTCCCAACCACCCGCCTCCCGGTCACTTGCCTCTCCACCACCCACCTCTCCACCACCCGCTTCTCCACCAACCACCACTGCATCACCTTCTTCCAACAATGATCCTGATGATCCCCCTATGCTTCAGTAACCAGATGTCTACCTATGTACAGTGCACTACTTCATCAAGCTCCAACTTCCATATACGAATGTAAGTATAGTATTGGTGACTTAAGTTTCTCATACACAGTATTCATATACAGTAGTGCACTAAGGTAGTATATAAGTTGCTATTCGCGGTTTTGCCAATTCGTGCCATTCCTTGGAACCTAACCTTCGCGAATAGCAAGGGTTTACTTTGCAATAGTATTTTTTATAAATGTGATAACATAAGATATACAGTATTGGTTTCCAATGTTATAGTAAAACTGCAAGAAGGTAAGTTTTACAAAAAATTTAATAGTTGGTAAACAAGATCATAATAGATTTATTGTTGCTGCAAGAGTGAGGGACTGAAGAGTGTGATACAGAACATTGCACTGTTTATTCTGTTTATTGATTTTATTGTGAATGCCATGTACAGTACAGTATGTGGTTTCTCCAGTTTAGTTTATCATCAACAACAACCCCAGGGAATTTAGTATTTTGTTCATGTTTGAGGACTGTATTACCAAGTTACAGTACAGTGGATTCCAGATCTGGGATTAAGTTCTTTCTTCTGTGAATGATTGTGTAGTGGTTTTTTTTCTCGAGATTTAAGGCCAGTTTATTACATATTACCCAGTTGCTGACCTAAGTCAATTTACTGTTCATATTATCATCAAGGAATGGAGATATGAGTGACTTGCATGGAGATTAATATTGTCTACAAATTAGTTGTATTTTACAAGGAAATTATATACAGCAGCTAGGGACTCTGAAGAAATGTGTCGAAGTGGACATACTGTTAAGGGAGATGAGGAACAACGAGAATGTTTCCAGTGCAGGAACAATGTAATAGTTTTTGGAGTCCCTGAGAGCCAGGCAGAAGGAACTGAGAGTAGGATAGCACATGATAAGATGCAGTTTAAGAATATTTGTACAGAGGTTCTGAAGATGCCATCAACCCCTCAGGATGTGAGGAAGCTGGGACAAAAGCAGGGGGATAAGCCTTGCCCCCTCAGGATCACACTAGTGAGTGAGGAGGAGAAATGGGAGGTTATTCGGCAGGCAAAAAACTTAGCAAGGAACGAGGCATCTCGGAGTATATTCATTCACCCAGATCGCAATGTAATGCAGAGGGGAACAGCACAAGAAGCTCCTACAGGGCTTGAAGCAGAGGAGGGAGGAGTCGAGGAGTAAAGGGGACGGGTGTACATGGGTTATATTCAGGGGGAGGGTAGTGGAAGCAAGTGTGCTGACACAGAGCCAGGGGGCAGCAGTGCACTCTCCATCCGCTCTATCTCCCACCCGGGAGGTGGCACCAGCTCCGCCTACCAACCAGGAGGAGGCGAGCGCCGTGTAAACAATGACATTTCTAACCACACCCTGCAAAATACAGTGTGCTTAGCAAATGCTGCAGCTTTTGAGAATGGAGGGGGGCCGGAGTTACAACTAAGAGCAGAGACGTCACCGAGAACAGATTCTACAGACGGGCAAGGGGGGACCTAGTTGAGGTGTATAAGCACCTCAGGGGGCACTACTCAGTTGAGTGTCCTTACTTGGAGCTG